AGGATCAATAATAAAAATTGATGAAATGGGGAAATGAACGGTACTATCGTTCGGAAAAATGAAATGATATTCCCAAGTGCAAACGTACGTTGAAAAAAAATATCCTGCGGTTTAATTTGAATTCTGGTTGAAAACTGGATTAGAAATTTCTTGTGTGTTAAATTTCCTAGAATTCTAATTCAGACAATCAAAATTCTGATTGATATAATCAGAATCTTCTGATAATTCGTCCATTTTCAACCCGACCCGATTTTTCTCAGTGTAGCCCTCTTGAAACGAATGTCAAGTATCATTTGTCACACGCATTTGCGTGTCTCTGATCGATGTTTCGTCATCGGTTACTCATTTTAAGGAGAAAAGCGAGGTCAGGTCGATCGCCAGTCGACAAGACCTTGACTCAGTGGCCGTATGCAGCGACGAGTGCGCACGCGCTCTCTCTTTCTTTCTCTCCTTCTCTCTCCCTCTCTCTCTTTCTATCAGTCTGGCGGCAATAAGCCAGGACAGAATGTAGTAGAGCGTCGCTACTACTACCCCTCTACTATTACTACGCTTACGTTTACCACCCTCTCGATCGTCGGTGTGCTTACGATACTCTGCTCACGCGCGCACGTGTACGGCTCGATTCTCCTACGCAACCGATTAATGAATGCGTCACGAAGAGGTCTGCGTCCGACGTTCCACACTCGACCCGCGATCCCTGACCTCCGACTCTCGAATGAAAATGTAATCCTTGTACGATTTAAAATAGGAGATTCGAATGATCTCTTATCCGAAGATCGACCATCGGATATCTCCACGTTATCTTTTTCTTTTTTAAGAGAATAAATGAAGCATTTTTATCGCTTTCAGCGTTATCGTTCTCGGAATTACTGACAGTAGTAATTAGTATGCTCTCCCTGTAGGGCTATCCAACGTTATCATCGAAGTCATCCTATTATGTATAATTGATCTTTTTTTTCCTTTTTTTGTACGTATCTTATTTCGGTTCGAATAACGAGAAACAGGGGAATAATTTGAATCTCTTAATCTCTCCATTGGAAAATTTGAGCGATTATTAAAAGTCTCGCAAAGATAAAATATTAAATATACAGTCAATTATTAAACAAACTCAATTTAGTTCCGCGAGAGAAGGTAGATTCCGATTTCAATTACTGAAAAATTCACTTTATAGACCTTAGTCTCGGTTCAGGTATACATAGTTTGTATGAACAATTCAAATATCATTATCTGATATTCTTCTTTACGACATGATTGGTAACGCTATCGATTTTCTGGTCAAATGTAATGGATGCTTTAACGCCACTCGCGTTATATGAATAATTACATAATTCGCGGCGAGATGATGTTGAGAGATCCTACCACGGAGTATATCGATCACGCCGCAATTATCCGATATTCACGCACACGCGCTGGAGCAAAGTCTCGTTTTTCTACTTGTCGTAAAATAAATCATGTCTTTATATTAGAGACAAGACAAACCGATATGAAATTAACCTGTAACATTTATGTACGTTCGGGGAATCTCTCTGATTCATCGTCAGTGCTTTTAATATCTTAGACATTTATACGTTATTTATGTAAACGGATATACTAAATAACCGAATGACTATACGAGTATAACGTGGATGGAAAGGTCAAAGGATACTCCGAGATAACGGAACGCGTCTCTGTCCTTGAAAAGACCGAAGCGTTCTAGTTGCAACAGCACCGACTGCTTTCTAAAGTTTTAAAGCGTGAGCTGTATCTAACCCTGCAAATTACCATAATCGGGTTTGCAGCATCGATTATGCGAATTGTGGCCGAAGCTTCGTTCACGCTATGTTCGAATTCGTGCTTGCAGGTACGCGTCCCACTGAATTTAAACTAGATTCGTGCTAAATTAAGAATTTACAACTGCAAAGTAAACTCGCGCGCGAGGTGAAATACGAAAAAAATATCGATTTACATTCGCGTACATTTTGCGGTCGGGATATTTCAGAGGATTTCAACAGGCACGCTAAGTGATCAGGATAAAACGTGAAATCTGCAGAATTCAAATGTGGAAAAAGAGTCGAATAAGTTCAAGGTTTACTATATATGTTGAAAGTATATAACCTTTGAACATTTGACCTCCGCTTTTAGGGTTATGTAGGAGAAATGTGTCGATGAAGAGCACTCGATGATGAAATCGAAATCTATGTCGAGTATCTTTCACGAAAGAGAGAGAGAGAGAGAGAGATTGCGAGAGCATAAGACTGCAGAGTGCAGATCCCAGAAATCGTGTTGAACTTAAAAGAAGTCCCTCGTCAGCTTCTAAAATCAGTTAAGGCAATTGAATCTTTTTTGAAGGACTTCTCAACCTTTTGCTTCATTTGACTTCGTAAGAGACATGGATTCGCGCTTGATTCTATAGTTATATGTACGCTTACGAAGCTCAGCCGCGGCACAGATAACGTTTATCTATAATAGGAACGGGCATCCCTTTGCTAACAAATGGCACGTTATCTCAGCAATGCTACCTTTTCATTGGCCCGCAGAATAATTTGACCCTTCGATAAGAGAAAGTAAGTTTGGTCGCGAATCTCGATTACCGTACCGTTATTTAAACGATCGTTTTCGTCAAACTTATTCCAGACTGTCTTATCTGGCGACGTTCAATTTCGAGCACAATCCGCTAACCCTTTAGCAACCTCAAATCTCCGCGGTTACACGAATGTATCTTGTCACGTGCAGACATTATTTTTACTTTAATTTTAAAGCTAGATTATACATCCTACTTGGGATTATATTAGATTCAAGACGGTATATTGTCATCTATGCAAGAACAGAATGCTGTTTTTCATATTCATGCACCTTCGCGTGGTCGATGGGAAAATATTTTCGCTCCGTTTTATCCGATTTGTCAAATTCACGACATACTTGGAAGTTTCTGGGAAGATATCGATTGCAGGCGTAGCCGCCTACCTTTGCTGTTACCGGCACGATGCGCGGCGGCCGAACTTTTACCGTTTTCGCGTGCTTCGGACACATCGACTGGCAACTTCCAAAGCGGTTGTTAAAGTAGCGGTGATCCTCGAACGATTTTCATAGACACACTGTCCAGAAATCATGCAATCTATTGGAATTTGCATTTATTCTTTGAATCATCGTCAATCTATTTGGTAACATCACAGCTGTTAATGTGAAAATAAACTGTTAATGTGAGAATAGCTTTCCGTCCTGTGAAATGCGAACGGATATCGGGTAGAAAATGTATGATCGATATCTACTACTGTTTAACCGCTGTTATTATTATTTAAACATGCAACGTCGTTATTACGTTTTTTATCAGTTAAGTATTGTTTGATTAATCTAGAGTTAATTCTCAGGAAAACTAACTCGAGGATAAAAACCAACTTCGAAGGAATACTGACGGTTATCTTTTTCGGTTTGTCGAGGGACAAACGCAGCGTTTAGATTCTGAATTTTTAATATCTTTTTCGCCTTAATTCCTCATTTCCATGCATAAGATCATCTTATCCATCTCTGACGACGATATCCAGTTTGTCAAGGATATCCCAGCTCTGAAAAGAGTAAACGAAGCGAGCGGGACATCCGGATGGCACGCCAAGCGTCTCGACGATAAATAGAGCGTAATTTAGTTTCCGTAATACTCGTCGCTAATTCTACCTTCTACCCACGCTCTTGTCGTCTCGCGGAGGGTCGATGTTACGCAAGCGGAAGAATGTCATGAGTTACATCGTACTCATCCCCGCGACCGTGCATTCAATATATCGATTCCCCAACGCGACGCGACGCGACGCGACGCGAAGCGACGCGAAGCGAGACGACGACGCGATGTGTCCTTGTTATTTCGTGCAACGGTCAGACGGTCGCCAGACTGACGTAGATGAAAATAGTTACGTGGCAAAACGAATCGACAGCCGGATCAACCTGTCAAGTACATTATCTAATCGATATACGTTCCTGGAATGTATTCAAGGCCAGTGTTAGGAAATTCGATTCTCTCTATCTGTATTATGTTTTATCCTTCTTTTTTTTTTATATTTCATATCAATATTTTATGTATTATGCATTCTCGACGCGTGTCGCGCCAACCATGAGAAACGCAAGTATATAGATACGTAGATGTCTCGCCCTCGGATAGAACTATACGACGATATATCAACGAGCGAGTAATGGTACACGCCTCGTAATGTCGTAGATAAATGGATACGCGTGTTTATGCACCGGTGCATCGTCGCGTCGTTTTCCAAAGAGCGCACTCGATGAACAAAAGTCTGGATATACTTGATAAGAATTGGTTGTTCCGTAGAAACGCAATCTCCGCTTATTTATGAGAAAGACATAAAGACACGAAAACGTATAGGACATAAATCGATATCGTTTCTCGTTTCTCTCGGAGAATGGAACATTTACGGTATTTTAAACGTATCGGAAGCACGGTGCTTTAGAGGTAAGGATCTTAACTGTCGATGTAATAACGCGGTGCGATATAAATCTGCGATGAATCTTACGCGGCTTGAGATGTGATTAAAAAAAAAAAAATATATATATATATATATATACATATATATATGTATATAAGACACAAAAATATAAAACATATCTGAGATGTACTTACGTATATTTACGGAGCTTTTAACAATGCTCGAACAGACAGTTTAGAATGAGAAAAGTTGCCATTCCACCGAGTGATTCTATTTACGCCCTATACAAGGTTCGAGTCAGCGAGGTGAGTCGCAACTGGGTCACCAAGGGAGCTCTTGAAAAGCGTTTGATTTCCCATAGCACCATCCTAACGTCCATATTGTCGTCACGAAAAACTACGCATGCAATTATTATTTATTAAATAATCTGTAAAATTTAAAATTATCTTGCAGCGGCGAGCATCGTTGAACAACAATATTAAATATTAAATATTTAATCGTGATACAAGGGTCATATTATTTTAATATGTCAAAAGATACGAGAGAGATTGTTTAATACGTTTTCTAACAAGATGGTCTATATTGTTTTAGGAACTCCAATAATGTGAACGTACAAACGAACGCAAATGCCCAACAAGGCACGGCCTCGTCAAGAGTGGTCTCCTCAATCCCTCTTAGATGTCTTGTGAGTATCAAAAAAATTCCAATCGAAATATAACCTTATCGGTATTTGCTACGAAATTTTCTTAACTGTATCGTGCGACTGGGGCAAGATTGATAAGCTTTTTGGAAATATCTTTAAATCATTTCTGTGTAAAATAAGATCTATGATATTAAAAGAACTAAAATATCCATTTCCATTAAAATAATGTTTTTCTCTTTTTAATTTATTACTAATTTTTTATAACTTTTATTTTCAATTTTTATATTTGCACTACCAAGAATACCTCAGTGATAAGTAACAATAACATCAGCTATTATTATTACAAAAAAATTACGCGAATGCATACAATAGTTTTCATTTTATGAATGAATAAATATACGTTGAAAGTTATTATCAGTGTCATCCCGTTCCGATATTCGCAGGTTCAATATACTTTAAATTATTGTATCTTTTTGCTTGAAGTTAATATAATTAAACAATTTTTTTATTTTGAGGGTCAAAATACAAGAAATAAAATCATACGTAACTTAAAATTATATAAAATTATAAAAAATATTTATTATACACAATTTTTTACGATTTTGATGAAAATGTTCAGATTCACTGAACCTGTGAATATCAATTAGGACTAAAATTATATGGGAACTATATTTCAATATATTTCTTCTTCGTTTGTGCTCAATTCAATTACATCGCAATTCGAAATCTTGCGGAATCCGTGGCGAGAGAACCGTATGTAATTAGTTAATTAAAGTTTCCGCATTTGTCCTCCGAACGAGAAAATTGCTGCTTTCCGCGGCTACATTCATTGAACTAGCTCGCTAGATAGAACATTCAATTTTAACGGCACGGAAGATCATTGTCTGTCGCAATTCTTCTTTTATATCTAACGCGTAGTTATCTTTGTAACAGGATATGAATTTTCATGCCCGTTAAAAGTAAAATCTTCGAAGTGTTCATCCAGAAAGTTACGTTAATGCGTCACATAAATTTGCCTGGTCGTACGATTATATACGGTACGGTGGTGATAAGTAAATAGCGAGTCGTTTCGATAGTCACGAGTGCGAGCATCGCGAGGAGCGCAACGACGCGGAAGGCAACTCTGGAAATTGCAATTTGTCCGAATAACACGGGCCGCGTATTTCCCACGAAAACACCTCGGCCTGCTGCGTCGCGGCACCATCATGCCCACGCTACGCGATACCGTGCCATAGCACAAAGCAAATTTTAGCTAGAAAACTTGCGCGTCAAATGGCTCCCGTTGTGCAATAGGAAGTCGACTATGACGCGAATATTATTCCGGGCGTGTCCCGAACTTCCGGAGCGAAGAGACAGAGAGGCTTGTTAATAAAAATGTAATATTAAAGAGCGTCTGAATACACGATACGCGCAGAGTCGTTTGTAACATCAAGTATCTAGTTACGGATAAAGAAGAAAGTCCGGGAAAACACCCGTAAATACCAGCAATCTCTTTCGAACGTGCGCGGTTTTATAAGATTTTTCGGACGCGGGGGAAGAGACGTAAGCGGAGAGAGGATGTAACAAGATGAAGAGAGAAACGACTTCGTTAGCGATAGATTCGCTAATTGCGGTCCGAGTTGCAATTAAAGCCGAAACGACGAGACGAGACACGCGCTACGTACATATACTTGATTATTCTGACGAATCAACGTAAAACCAATGATGTAACATTGCTGAGGCGTATCGGCGGTAAACGTTAGAGAAGCTATTACATCGGAATACAAAATGTAGCCACATCAAATTTAGATTGCTCTCTGTCTCAGGGGTACCGACCTTTCTGCATCATTTATAACGGATCGATCTTTCGCTACTCTGACCCGTCTCCCTGCACTTCGTCCTCCCGCGTCTCGTTTCAGAAGTTCATTAGCTATTCGGAGTTTAAGAGCTCTCGACTACAAGTTTCGTCACTTGTGAATTTTGATTCATTTTCGGGCTACGCTTGAGATGTGGACGACTTTCGCCATCGTGGGATCTTTATTCACGTGAGAACGTAATTTACATGCCTGTTGCGCTGATGCTGTAAATATCTCAAGCAACGTTAACAAATGTAATTTGCGACAAATTGAGAACGCGAGAACGTTTCTTATCAATTTTTGTTATCGAATGTCACCAGCGGCGATAAGGACGAGAAATTGTGATGCAGTACAATATAATTATCGATAATATCATTTCCTTACTTTAAAGCGATATAATTCAAAGAATGTGATTTTCATGTTATTACCATGAACGAGTTAGGTAATGATTGTTCTGTCAGTCATCAAAAGTAAATTAACTAATTTAACTTTACAGTTCGTCAAATAGCACTGTGATTTTTTTAAGGTTTTCGAAGAGATCATAATATCTTCTACAAGAGACACATTTTTTAAGTTGTCGGTTTTGTAAGTGAAAAATGGAATCTTCTACAGAGAACATTTAGAGTTGAGACAGTTTTGTGATTAATAAAGTTTGAAGAAGAAATTGTTTCATTTTGAATGTATCATTTATCTGATAAAAGTAAATATAAACTATCGATAATATTTCGAGTTATGTTACTTTTGATGAATTATTTCGGTTATAATTTTGTAAAACATCAATATCGTGATAACTCAAAAGGGTTGCAAAACAAAAATGACATTGAATGTTATTGGGAATCCATTCTTTTTTCCGCGATATTATTTGGTTAGTTATTGATTAAGTCGAAAAATATAGGTTTTTTCTTTTTCTGAAAAACTTAATTTTTTTAAAATTACGTCACTATTGAAGTAAGAGAACAATATATCGGAAAAGATACAACGATAAATATTTTATTGGATGGTAATACATATTTTATTGGATAGTATTAACTCAATCGCCCATTATTTTTCGCTTACGGGACAATATGCGGGTCGATGATTTATCGTTCACAGGGTGAACCACGAAATCCTAACGTATGACTCGTGAAACGCCGGTAAATCCATCGATCGATGCTTTTGAGCCCGCATTCAATGGAGAACGAAATTAGCGAGCACGGCATTGACAACCGCTTTGTTCGTCTGTCACGCGAACATTCTCGCGATAAATTTGCACCGGCAATCGTAGCGTTTCGTGTAAATGCCAATCAGCTGCATAATTATCGGTCACGAGCCACTGCGGTGGCCCGAAATTGTTTCGATTCCCTTAATTGGAATTTTATACAGAAAATAAGCTGCTTGCGTTAAATAATGTATTAGTCACACTCTCCCTAATTCGTTTCCGATAAATCGGATCTTGAAACTGAAGTTGTAATAGCCCGCAAATTAGACGTCCGTGGGGATATCCGTGCACCGTATCCGCGTGCACGGTGGACTGTAATAATCGGCAATCACGGTGAGACTTAATCATTCCTACCGCGCCTCGGTGAAGAAAGAATAGATTAGAGACGTCGTCCGTAACTAATGGCGCTGTTGCGTGCTAAGAGAAGAGAAAAACGAGAGAAAAAAAAGGCGATTGCCCTTTGGAAACCGAGGATACCTTTCAGAGTGAGACTCGTGCTCGAGAGAGTAGAGCCGAGAGAGTCGGTAGATACTTTGAATATCAGGCGAGACAGCCATTTCTCGATGTCTTCCGCAGGTGGATGCCCCGCTCCGCTATGAGGCCGGCCGAGGGTGACGCATCGGATTGCATTTTGGTGGTCGGCGTATCTAGATCGAAAATGGCCGTCGCTTTTCTATCAGTCGCCCTGCTGTCTCTCTTTCTCACCTTCCACATACTCTATGACAGCGCCGTTTATAGTCTCCACGCGGTTTCCGCCGTCGAAGGACGCACGGTCGAGCTGGTCTCTCAGGTACGTATTTCGTGTCTTGTAACAAAAATACGTGTCATTATCTATATCCAAAGATAGAACGGCTGCCATGATGATGATGGATTTACGGTAGGTACACGCGACGCCGCCTCTTCTCTTCTCCAACTCCAAAGTTCACTTCCCGCGCACGAATCGCCATCTTCCCCAGGCCATTATAATTGGCGTACGCAAGTGCGGCACAAGGGCACTGCTGGAGATGCTCTTCCTGCACCCGCAGATACAGAAGGCTGCCGGCGAAGTTCATTTCTTCGATCGTGACGACAATTACGGAAAGGGTCTGGAATGGTACCGTCGGAAAATGCCCTACTCCTTTAAAGGGCAGATCACTATCGAGAAGAGTCCTAGCTACTTCGTGACGCCCGAAGTGCCTGAGAGAATTCGCGCGATGAACGGCAGCGTCAAGTTGCTCCTGATCGTACGAGAACCAGTTACCCGGGCGATATCGGATTACACGCAATTGCGCACGCACGCTGCAACCGCGTCCACATTGACCAACGGTACGCCGCAACAACAGCAACAACAGCAGCAGCAAGTGGCGCGTACATTCGAAGAGCTCGTTATGCGACCCGATGGTACCATCAACGAGTCCTACAGACCGGTCGCCATATCCCTCTATCACACCTATATGCATCGTTGGCTGGAAGTGTTCCCCAGAGAGCAGATTCTCATAGTAAATGGCGATCAATTGATCGAGGATCCGGTGCCTCAGCTGCGCCGAATCGAGAATTTCCTCGGGCTGGAACCGCGTATCGGTCGGCACAACTTCTACTTTAACCACACCAAGGGCTTCTACTGCCTGAGAAACGACACTTCGGAGAAATGTCTGAAGGAGAGCAAGGGAAGGCGTCATCCGCGTGTCAGTCCGATGGTCGTGACGAAACTGAGGAAGTTCTTCAACGAGCACAATCAACGCTTCTACGAACTCGTCGGAGAGGATCTCGGCTGGCCGGAGGAATAACCATCGTGGAAAATCCGGACTCGTTCGTTACGCGACGCGAGTCGCGCGTGCATCCAGCGGCGGGCATGATCGTTCAAAATCAAATATTCTGTCGTCCTCACTGAAGTAATATCTCTATCTCGTTTATCGATGGAATTAACCATGAATCGAAGAACTGACATCGTCAACGTAGACTTTTTGGGATTACATCGTATCGATCAGCGATATTCTTCGGGGACACTCACAAGGATAAGTAATTTATTATTGATTATCGATTCCTTTATTCTCGATAAAGAGGTAATAATGCGCTGATGAAAATGTACAGGCGCCGTTTATTAGCGGATGCATACGAGGCCAGCGTCTTGTTATTATATTATCAAACGTGTAAGCGTATACAAAACATGACACACAAATTACCTATACTATACACACGTACACACAAACACAAAAGTTACAATAACGCCGGCCAAAATAAAATAGAGAGACGCGAATCTGCGAGACGAAACGCGATCGCCTCGTGGATTCACGCGGCATGCGGATCACATTGGTCCGTGACTTTACATATCAATTTTACATATCGATAGTTTACATATCAATAGGTTAACTAGTTCGTACGACAAAGATTGAATATTTTTATAATCCACATTGGAAGTTGTTATATCGCTTATGTCGTTAAGAATATTACGTAACGCGAAGGATTCTCTCGCGCGTGATTATGAAGATCGAAAGTTTTATTTATCGCATCCCGCGCATGCACGATCCACCTAGGCACTGAGGTGTAATTATGGTAGTCTGCTCTTTTTTGCAGAGAAATCGAGAGAGAAAGCCGAACAGAATATTTTCTTTTTCTTTATCTCACTGAGTTTATCTCTTTGTCTCTTTCTCTCTTTTTCTACCGCAGAAACGCGAATGTTCTTCTCCATCGTTCTCTGACACTGGATATTGGCGCAAACATTCCTCTGGGAACACGAAGAGAAGTAGGGTGGAATCCGACCAACCGCGAATAAACTCGTCAGCGGCAGCATAAACGAACCGGTTCGTCGAAGCTTTATCGTAGAAATTTTTATAATCGATTATTTTCCAAATCTCTCCCGATGGAGCTCGAATATTTTAACGTGCTTTATATATAATAAATTTTGATCGAAAGACCAAGTATTACATGTATAATGAAAGCAATGCGATAATAGAGACTTTATCAAAAATTTATCACAATAGTACGGAGCACATTCTTTTTGTCGTTGAAAGACTTCTTAATTATTACACGGATGATTAATAATTTGGCTCGATGTCGACAAAGATGATGGACGTCGCGAGACGCGAGAACCTTTGCCCTTTACAATCTACTCGAAGAAGCATATTAACCTTCCAGAGCTGACAGTGAATCTATTGGATCTACTTAATTATTGAAAATGTCAAATAATTCAATTTTTTTTATTACATCTGCAAAGGAGGATCTAAAAATGAGTGACTAAAAATGATCAAAATTTGCTCCAAGCCGACACCTAAGAAACTAATTCCACAATGTTTCTTGGTGTATCTGAAAGAGAAAAATAAGATTTATAATATATCGGGAAGTAATGAAAAAATTGCTGATAACAATAAAATGTCATACAGAATGCGTAATGTATACGTGACATTATGTTTTGGTTTCCTTTATTTCTGTACGATCAGCCTTGTATATTCTAATTCCTTTATATATATATATATATATATATATACATATACTCATTTATATATGTATTTTACATACATACTTATATACTATCATTTTTAATAAAAAAATGTTAAAATTTGTTAAAATCATTCTTTGTTAGGCCTCTTTGTTAGGCCTATTTTTTATTCTTGTATATTTTTATTTATTCTTGTATATTTTTTCAATATAAAAAATTTTTAAGATGTAGGTATTTTTTATGTACAGAAAAAGATTGTTAAAAACAAATATATTTTATCCTATATTTCTATCCGATCGAATAAATATAAATTATTATCTATATTTACAAATACATTATTTTTGATTTGACAGTTTTTGACTTCTAGATTTCTATTAGGTGTTGGAATTAATTCGTAGCGTTTTACAAGTGATGGGAAGTACTTTCATTAATGTATTTTTTAATGCTCATGTGAAATAAATAACATTCTTTCATTAAAAAACGCTACGAATTAATTCCAACACCTAATATATAAGTATATGTTATATAGGTTACTTATAAGTAGGTATACATCTCTCGATATTATAAATATAATATAAGTATAATTATTTTTCTCTTTTAGATACATCAAAAAACACTAAAATTAGTTTTTTTAAGTATTGGCTCGGAGCAAATTTTTAGATATCCTCTTTTGGATTGTTCTTATTAAGATATATTTAATGCTCATTCCTTTTTATAGATACGAGTTGTACCATTTTAGTTTCTTTAAATTAATATCTCTTATTTAACATGAGTTAAATGATTCGTATGCAGCTATTTAACTCATATTAAATAAGCATCAGTAATTGAATTAAGAAAAAGATATTAAAAATTTATTTATAAAGTTTTACTGAAATAAATCCTTATTTAAACACGGCGAAATAAAATTTTATTTCTAGCAGATATAAGATAAACTCTTTATTTTATGTTTTTACAATTAGTAGAAAAAATGAGATATATTTCACAGAACTGTATATTTCGTCAAAGTAAAATTATTTTATAATCAATAAATATTGAAAAAAATCACAAGTAATATTTTTTTCTAAAATATTTCGATATTTTTTTCTCAATGTGTTACTTGATTTTGGCGTCAACTCTGAAGGGTTAAACTTTATATACTAATATCGAATTATCATGACGGTTAATGCCTGAACAGTTCTACAGAAATTTCTATATTTTTTTCTCAAATTTCTTTTTGAACGCGAATGACAGTTGATGAAAATCACTGACGATCAGAGACGATTATAAGATATATCTGTTATTGAGAACGTGGGGAAAACAAGGGAGATGAAAGAAGTGAGTCGTATGACAGTTTGCTGCTTAGCGACAGGCTGTTCTCTTGGAAGGATACGGCGCCATAAATAATCCGCTTTGCGGCGCAAGTGAGTCGTGCATGCGCGGCAAAATGCACCGTGCGTTAATTCGTGCGATAAATACCGGTTGCTTAGGCTTCGTTTCAGCGGCCGGAGATCTCGGGAATCGGAGTAATGGCGTTCTGAGACCAAGTGCGTCAATTTCGTTTGCGCCGCGATTATTTTCAACAGACAAGTACACGTATCATCCGCATTTGGTATCTCCGCAATTGGAACAAACAATGTTATTGACTTGGAAGTTAAAAGGAAAAAAAGGAATTTTTTGCGCTGATTAAATTATTTTCAATGAAACGAGAAAATGTTTATCTCTGGTACTGGAGCAGAAAAATTTTGTGTTTTCCGTCTTATTTTTATTAATCTGTTTTTCAGTTTGATTATTTAGCGAAGCATCACTTTATGCGCACCAAACTCCGTTAATTACCTCGCTGCAATTTGCTTGCTGTCACGACTGTAACGTTATGCGCTGCTCGATCATCGGTTTCGCGAAAGCCCGAAGAGACGAAGTCTCGGTAACGACAATTTCGGGTCTCGAGTAATTCGGTTCAAAGAGAATCGTGGCGTCATGCGTTCCGTCGTCGATCTTCCTTTCCGTTATACACGCTTTGATCAAATCTTTACTCGGTTGCATTCGTGTAAGTTGTAATTTCCACAAACTACCTTTGATTCTCGTTGGATTATCTCACCGGTATACGGTTTATAGAGTACTCAGGATGTGAATCTTCCGCGATTAGTACACACGGATACCCGGGGGTGGGAATACTCTCTTTCTCTTTCGCTTTCTCGAATAATGTCGGATCAATAAAGTCGGAACGAACGAGTCGTTATCGAATTGTTATCACAAATAAATTTTCAATTAAGCGGGTTAAAATACGCGGCGTGACCGAGAACTTATTTGAAAACGTCACGCCAACACTCTTTACGTTTTCTCCATAATCTTGCGGACTAATATTTAATTCCACCGTGACTGATATGACCATCAAGTGAGTTTATGCGGTGACACGCGATCTCTTTCTTTCACTTAAAACGCATGAAAGAAAAACGCACATATCGCTCGATATCCCTTCTCGTGACGAGCGAAGGGCTCGCGTTACGACTTCCGACCTCCGCACCCAATTAAAGAACTTGTACGAACCTTCTTTAAGGAAGTCACGGCACGGCTCGATAAGCTAAGAAGCGTAGCCGGTCACGTTAACCATCTCGCACGCTCGGTTACGCTCATTTAAGCAGAGGGAATATTTTTAGTGAGTTTCGCATTCTCCGATGAACGATAGGTTTTCGGAAATTGCAGCGGCATTCGCGATCGTTGATCAATTGGCATACTTTCTACTTTCTCACTCCGAAGAGCAAATACAAAGATAAAGATTTCTCGAGTGAAGACTGGCACGTCTAGATAGATATACATAGTCGCGCTTTCAACTATAATAATATCCGATCGCACGTACACATGATGGAATTGCCAAGTGAAAGCTCTTTATGACAAATATTAAATTAATCGTGACTTTAATAAATCTCTTGCCGAATCATCTATCCGTTGATCGTTAAAATTACGGCGGGAAAAAATATCGTCTCCGAAGCGGAGCAAGATAAATATTGTTCCTTTCCATCTCTCTCTCTCTCTCTCTCTCTCTTTCTCTCTCTCTCGTTACTGAAAGAGAACGAATAGAAGTTTCATTCCCCGACGCGCATCGCGCGCGATCACGATATTCTCCCTCGGCCTCCGCGACCCCGGTCTCGGCCATTCACCCCGACTTTAGCGGCGTTAACAACCCTCCCCCTCCCCCTCCCGCCCCTCTTACTCTCGGAGGTTCTCTTTTTTACCCCCCTTTTTTTTTTCCATTCGTCGATGTCCGGTCAATCTACGGGGATTTCACGGCCCTTCCATTTGCGGGGTGTTTCGCGAAAATAAATATTTTCAACGGTGAAGTTAGCGCGAGAGCCTCTGCAAATATGTCATTTCGTCCGCACCTTCCGGATGAAATATGAAGCGACAGGAACGAACACCTGCGATACAGATGTCGAACGTGTAATGTACCTTGTTACGTATACACAGAGGTGTCCGATGACCTATAAAATGTAACACACATCGCGCTGAAAGTAGAAATTGAATTGGGGTCTTTCGGAAACAGCTGCCTGTGCCCGGATAACCTCTTTGCCTTGACTGATCGATATTGCTCGCCATTCACGTGTACGTCCAGCGAAATGTACGCAGATCCAAGCGGATCCCTCTTGTCCCTTTCGTCTCCATTACGGATGCACCCTCTACAGAGGCGAGCCGAGATGAATATGTATTTTCTAGCGAGCATGGCACGCGAAAGTACTGAAATTTATAAAGACCCGCTGCAAGTATCCCGACCATTTCCCAAACTATTTC